TTTGGCGTTACATTAAGTCAAAGAGGAATGACGGCTCAGGTGTTTCCCCAATTCGTGAAGGCAGCAGGCTAGTTAGCGACCCTCGTACTAAGGCCGAACTTTTAAATAAACAGTTTCAATCAGCCTTCACCAAGGAGGATACAGAGAACGTTCCGTCAGACATACCCAGCTATGTTAGACCTGGTGATAAGCGTCCAGTTGTTACTTCAACGTCTAAATCCGTCGAAGGCCAGTGGCCCAGACTACATTGCTAATAGGCTACTCAAGGAAGCAGCACATGAGATTGCCCCAATACTCACTGCAATATTCCAACAATCATATGAGCATGGTGAACTACCAGCAGATTGGAAGGAAGCCAGGGTTACCCCAGTATTCAAGAAAGGTGACCGGAATGCCAGTGAGAATTACCGACCAGTATCATTAACCTGTGTGTCGTGCAAACTTATGGAGCACGTCGTAAGCCGCCATATCATGGACCACCTTGATCGCTATAAGATCCTCTCAGCCTACCAGCATGGCTTCCGTAAGCTTCACTCAAGCGCTTCTCAGTTCCTGATGACCACCCACGACTTCTTGAGTTTCTTTGATCGTAAGGTTCAGGTGGATGTTGCAGTATTAGACTTTAGTAAAGCTTTTGACACCGTAACCCACCTGCGACTCATGAAGAAATTACATCAGTATGGCATCAGGGACACAAGCTTAACATGGATCAAGGAGTTTCTCAGCGACCGGACCCAACAAGTCGTCATTGATGAAGTTTCATCGGATAAGGTGAAGGTGGAGTCTGGGGTACCTCAAGGCACTGTCTTGGGCCCTCTACTCTTCTTACTCCACATTAATGACCTTCCTGACGCCGTCGTATCCCAAGTGAGGCTATTCGCCGACGATTGCCTGATCTACAGAGAGATCCGATCGATCGCTGACCAGATAGAGCTCCAGCGAGACCTGGAACGCCTTCACGACTGGGCATTAACTTGGGGCATGCGATTCAATACAAAGAAGTGTAACATACTCCGAATCCATCGACGAGCTGGTACTCCATTGTCCTTCTTCTACGAGTTGGATAAGCATATCTTAGAGGAAGTGACCACCACTAAGTACCTCGGCCTGAACTTCTCTTTCAACCTAAAATGGGACGACCACATCAGTGCGATTTGCGCAAAGGCCAACAGCACACTTGGTTTTCTACGCCGCAACTTGAAATTTGCTCCAAAAACACTCAAAAAGGTTGCATATAAGTCATTAGTTCGCTCAAAATTGGAATTCGCATCTATTGTTTGGGATCCTTTCCTGGTCAAAAACATTGATGTTGGAAAAAGTTCAGAGAAGGGCAGCCAGGTTCGTATGTAGAGACTACCGGCGTGACAGTAGCGTTACTGAAATGCTAGGAACTCTGAATTGGCCTTCTCTTACTCAGCGGCGGAGCGATCAGCGCATAGCATTCATGAAGAAGATGTCTTCTTCAGTGGCGGTACCAGCAGATCAGTATACCAAACCTGGACCCCAGCGAACACGCAGTAAGAACAGTCAGAAACTTCAAACAGTGCGAGTCAACACC